AGCTAGTAAGATATAAATCTTTGGCTCATTGGGGTGTACAGGAAAAGATAAAGAAGCTGACAAACCTTGAGCAAGATCAGAACACCAAGAGTGTGCATAATGGGGACACCGGGAAAACTGGGAAAGACATGCAGGGTGGCAGCAGAGGTAACTTAGCAAATTTCCGTGGACCTGAAGCTTGAGCCAAGAGGGGATTTTGGAGAACAACACAAGCACGGTATCAGTGGGTGCGTCTACACATGCACTTTAATGCGCAGTAGTTTATTTTACTACGTATTCAAGCATTATGTAAAAAACGATGATATTATGCTAATGAACAGTAAAATAGGCTACTGAGCATTAAGCATGCATTGGTTCTACTGCACATTAGGGAAGCATAAGGCACATTCATTTAGTACCTCACATTGTAGGTACTAAATTTAATGAGCATTAGGAAAAGTGCATGAATGCACGTGTAGATGCGCCCAGTGACAGAAGCATAGGAAATTACAGCAAATAGTCCTAATGGTAGAGGCAGATCTCAGCATAGCTTAGGAAGATGAATGAAGAGTAACTTTACCTTACAGGTAAAAACTAAACATTAAAGCTTCCTGAGCAGCTTTGTGGATTTCTCCTCACCCACAAGCAGCCAGACATTTAAGAGGACATGTCCTGAGTCACCTGTTCCTGTGGAACAGGGGCAGGCAAAAATATAGCCCATGAGCCACATCTGGCCCGCCAGGCCATTCTATCTGCCCTGTGCGGCCCCTCCAAAAAACAATTATTACTGGCCCATGGCTGCTCCTCTGAAAGCCAGCAGCAGGTGAGCTTTCAGAGGTCACGCACCATTGGACTGGGTGGACTCTGTGCCTCCACCTCCATGGGGCTCCCACCACTCGATCTGGGAGCCCCACTGGAGGCACAGAGTGCAATGGTGTACAACCGGACAGCTGTTGAGTAGGAGCGGAGCTCCCGCCTGGAGGAGGAGGGAGTGGGGTGGGCCTCCCTGCCACAGCACACAGCTTCTGCTGGTGGTGGGCCCTCAAGGCACTCCTGGCCTGCTGCGGGCAAAGCCCCCTAGCAGCATGCAGCTTTGGTTGAATCCCAGGAGCTGAGCTGCATGTGTTGGCACGTAGCTAGCCCGGCCTGCCTCGCTAGTGCATGCTTTCAAGACAGACCAGGCTGGCTCCATGCCAGCACATGGAGCTCCTGGAACTACAGGCAGGAGCTGCACACCTACAGGTTGGGTCCAAGCCAGCATGTGGGGGGGAGCTGTGTGCCATTGGGCCAGCTCCATGCCTTCACATGGGGCTTCCAGCACCCCAGCAGGGAGCCACACGTGAAAGCATGAAGTCCACCCAGACCGATGGCAAGCAATGCCCTATGGCTCCTGGTCCATGCACCATCAGGCCAGGTGGGCTCCATACTTCCATGTATGGCTCCCTGCTGGAGTGCTGGAAGCCCCACGTGGAGGCACAGAGCCAGCGCAGCCTGATGGCATGTGGTTTGTGCTCAGAGCCCATGTGCTGGCACAGAGCCACCCTTGTTTGCTTTGAAGGTGTGTACCAGCAGCCTGGGTCAGGCCGGCTCTATGCCGCCATGTGCAGCTCCCAGGATTCAGCCACAGCTGTGTGCTGCTGGGGGGCTCTACCTGCTGTGAGCCAGGAGCACCCCGAGGGGCCACTGCCTGCTGCTGCCGGTGGCAAGGACTGTGCGCCACGGTGGGGGCATGTGGCAGGGAGTCCCCCACTCACATACCCACACCCCCCCCACCTCCCAACCCCTTCATACCCCCTCCCCCCACAAATCCCACACCCACTCCCGACACAATACACAGAGTAAGACTTTATTTTGAGTTATTAATCACCTCTATATACACTATGCAAAGACATGCAAGTCAGGACAAAAATAGATATTTATTTTTAATAAAATTAAAATATGTTATACTAGATGTTTGACTTTTAGTATACAATGTGGGGTTTTTTCCTGGTTCCAAGACGACAAGCAAAACACCCCTTGCGCCCCCCCCCCCCCCCCCCACGCCCCATTCCCGTCGCTGGCGAGAGAGGGGGAGCCCAATGGGCAGCAAAGTACGACAACAATGTCTGGTGGCAGGGGTCAGGAGATGAGACTTCTGGTTCCAAGATGGTGACCGGGGGTGGGGTGTGGGGGGGGTGGCACCTGTCAAGGGGTGGGGCTACCCTTGCAGCCCTCAACACCTCACTAAAAGTAATTAGGCAGCCTTGCAGCTGAAATAATTGGCCCCTGCTCAAAAGGCTAAAACACCCCCAAAACTGAAAGCCCTTCCTAAGTATCATGAAAACCATCCAACAAACTTCAGTGAAACACTAGTGGGAATCCTAGGCACATGATTTGTAAAAGCAAATGAATGAAACAAAAAAAAAAAAAAAGCGCCACTGGGAAATCATTATCCTGCTCTTAATTCAAGCTAAGTTAAGAGTCATTTCTGTTATTCCGTCACACATCAAAAAACCTCCATTTAAAAGATGCAGTAACAATTTTTTTTTTAGAAAGAGACTGAATCACTAAACAGGTACTATAACCTTGCAATATGAGTAAGCAAGAATGTACTTTGGCTCGATATGTCTCTAGCATCCACAGTTGACCACTGAGGGACCCACGGCAGCACATACAGCTCAAGAAGCAGCAGGCCTTTCATCCACCCAGTGTAAATTGCAGGTACTCGGCAGGATTGCAGGTAATTTGTGTCTCAGTGCAGAGCCCCAAGGCAGTCTCCCTTTAAGGTGTGATTTGGTCTTCCTCAAAATTCAGCAACTGACCTTGCTGAATCTCACAAACGCTCAAAGTGGCAAACTGAAGCTTACATCCTGAAAGCAAGACAGGTCTCAGCTTGAACATGGATGGAATTCCCCCAAGGGGATGGATATCGCCTTCTACTTTTCTAAATCAAACATCTAGTCAGGGAACAGAAAGGGCAGACAGAAGTTACATTTGTCGCAAGATCAGCCCCTTGAAAAGTAGGGGGGTGCACCAATAAAGATTTTATTGGCCAATACTGATAGCCGATTATTAACTAGCCATTCCAGCCAATACCAACTGGCAACTTGGAGAGTCTGTTGGGGGTGGGGGAGGGCATGGGGCAGACTGAGGCCCCCACTGTGAGGGAGGGAGTGGGGCTGGGCAGGGGTTGGGGTAGCCGCTGCCTGGCCAGGGCAATGAATGTTACCCTGGGGCCAGGAGAGGGGACAGAGCTGTGGGCAACTTGTCTGGGGCATGTGGGGAAAGGGGATAGCTCTCCACTGCTGCGCATACCCCCAGAAGAGGCGTGGGGGGGCATGTGCCCCCTCAAATGTGTGTGCAAGACGTGGGTGGGCTGCCCACTGTGGGCTTGAAGCCAGGGGCTGTGACAATCTCTTCCTGGCAGGGGGGCTGGGCCAGAGCTGTGCTTAAGGCAGATGGGGGTGCTGTGGGCTCAGCTGCACGGGGTGGGCAGTGGTGATGGGAGGGGTGGCTATGGCCTACTAAGTCCCCCTTAGCACCACCCCTGCTTGGGGCACCAGGGCACCCGAGGGAAAGGCAGAAGAACAGAGTGCTCCAGCAAGGGTGGCCCTAGGAGGGGCTTGGGGGGCCTATGGCCACCCCAAAATTCCTCATAGTCCCCCTCCTAGTGCTGCCACCACAACTGCCCATCCTGTGCAGCTGAGTCTGTCCTACTCCCACCTGCCCTGAGCGCAGCCCCGACCCAGCCCCCCTGCCGGGAAGAGGCCATCACAGCCCCTGGCCCCAAGCCCACAGTGGGCAGCCCACCTTTGCCCTGCACACAAATCCCATGCCTCCTCCGGGGGTCCACACAGAGGTGGGGAGCACAGGTACATGGCATTTACCAGTGACATTATCAGCAAAAAAAAAAAAGCCGATTGCTTATAGTGTCAATTTTCCTGTTATTGGTGCTGACTCGATATGTGACCGATATATTGGTGCACCTCTACTTGAAAGTGCTCTGCAACTATGCCCATACAGAAAAGCATGGCTGCAAGAGTGCTTTAAAAATGCCTGATCCCACAACACTATGAACCCTCATTACATTCCAAAGTGGATTGCCTTCACTAAAGTCTGTCAGTGCATGCCGGGAGCAGGGCTGGCCTGATACTGCCCAGCCCTGTACCTGGTGCTGTCTTCAGAATGGGAGGGGGAGAAGGGAGGAGGGAATTCTGTCTGGGATTTGCCCAGCTTGCAATGGAGGGTGGGGTGGGTGGATTGGAGCCTTCCCACCTCATGTAATGAGGGTTCAGACTGTCATGTAATTGGGCACTTTTAAAGCACTCTACAGCTGTGCACTTCTGTCAGGGCATGGCTGCAGAGTGTTTTCAAGGGGCTGATCGCGCAACAGCTGTAACTTCTGTCTGCGCCCTATTTCCCTGACTAGTGCAAGCTAGGTAAACCCCAGACCAAGATCCCTCCTCTCCCTTTCCCCACTTCCCATTCTGAAGACAGCACTGGAGCGGGGAGGAGCGGGGAGGGTGGGGCTAGGGGAGAGCAGCTGCAGACATACAGCTGCTCCAAAACTGGAGCTTGATCCTCCAATCCACCAGACCCAACAGCAAACGTTTGGCTCAGGGGGAACGCTGCAACTCATGGCGGTTCTTGTGAAGTGCCACGAGTTACAGTGAGGAGCTGTGCGTCCATCAGCATCCAAAAACCTCAAGAGTTTAGAGACAACAATATTCAAACAAGCAACAACTGCAGCAGGGTACTGGTCTAAAATTAAAAAGTTCCTCTTAGACTCCAAGATTGCTGCCTCTCAGCCACTTTCATGTACAGAACATAACTGATGTGCAACCAACCAATTCCAGTACTACACCAGCCAGTCATTCAGTTGTTTTTTTTCAAATGTAATATCTAAATACACATAAGTACCCTCAATTCAAAGCATTTTTTGTAAAATGTCAAAGAAATACGACCCTTAATATAGCATACAAGTTATGTTCCATAAAGCACACGTCCTAATACCAAGCATATAATGTTAGTGAGATTCATACCTGAAGGTCAAAGAACTTGCTGTACCGTCGATAAATGACTTCTGTGGAACCATTGGACCAGGTGACCCTGATTATATACACCTGTGGAGAAAAGAGAAGGTCAGAGGAAAATGACACCAATAGAGCAAACTTGCTTCCTTCCCCATGATTCTGGGGGTTAGGGCAGATTCCAGAATAGCTACAGAAGGCCCTAATTCAGGAGAGCACAAGGACATGCTGTGTTCCAAAGCTACCACCACTGCTAGATAGGTCAAGTGTTAGCAGCTACATCTTGGGCACCCCCATGCAGGTCCAGCACAAACTGCGATCTACAGAGACCTAAAATTGTGGTCTGCAGTAGCCTGAAAGCACACTAGCTAATACAGCATAGGATTAAGGGCTATAACACCTGTGGAATATCCACTAGTCTATCAAGCGCACAGCTCACTCTAACGGTTTCAGAAATACCTTGAGATTCTGTTTACTTACAAAGTGTTTTAGGCCCTGTTTACCTTTCTGCTGTCTAAAGTGTCACAACCCAAAGTTGTGATTTTTGTTTTGTGTGCGCTTTGGCACTGCTAAATTATTTTCCCACCAAATTTGTAGCTTTCTTTGCAGTGTGCATTTCTTTTGCATCTGAGAAATGCTCGTTGCAAAGAGTTCCCACCATTTGTATTCTAATTCAAGCCCCATTATTGGCTTGCGTGAAATTATGCACACGTGGCGGCTAGTGATTGGCTTGCTAGCCGTATAAAAAGGCTTGGGTGGTTTCCACCCGGTTTGGAGAACTTGGAGAACCCCCGCAAGGGAGGACTCCACGAACACCAGGAGGAGGAGACTTCACGCTGTGTGAAGATCTCTAAGCGCTGCGGAGCCTATTGGACCCAGCGCATTTCAAGCAGGCAACAGAGGTCTGATCAGCCTCTAGCCTCTCCCCGTCGCCGATTAATTCCTAGACATATCCCTTCCTGCGCGCAAAAGAAACGGACCCAGGGAGCTTCAACAACTCCGTGGGAGAGAGCGAGCTTGTCGTAGTCCTCAAACGAGGATTTAATCGGAGCTGTGCCTGGAAAACTGTCCAGCCTACACCGCGACCATCTTCGGTGTAAGTAAATAATTTTTAAATCAACCATTACGCGTCTGTGCCTAATTCTAGCGTGTCGCCCGTTCTCTCCGACCCCGCGTGCCCGGGCTGCTGGCCACAGCCCGCGTGCGCAAAAGGGCCGCGGATCGCTCCCGGCCCGCACATAAAGCAGTCCATAATTAATTCCCATAACTGTAGGTTATGCATAGGGCTTGTGCATAAACTACAGGCCTCAATAAGCAGTGAAAACCAAAACAAGCAATTTCTGATCATCCGTGATAGAGGATGGCAAGGAAATCATAGAGTTGGGCAAAGATTTGATATTTAATACTTTTTATCTCCATTCACACAAATCAGATAACTCTTGACAATGTAAGCCCTCAGGGTTGCAAAGTTCAGGCTGTGCTGATTGCTACTAAGGTGAAGGCACTTCTTTCCGTGACTATTTCAAAAGGAGCTCCCTTTTTCTGCTGCAAGATATTCAAAAGCACCTTCCCCAGAACAGGAGCAAAGCTTTTGGAAGACCAGGTGAATGGAAACACTAGCAACTTCAAATGATGCTCTAGCAAGGACATGAATGAAATATAATAAAAGATGTTTTAAAAAAATCTGTTACCAGTTTAGATTCTCTGATAGAGACAAATTCATTTGTCTAAAGTGAACCAGACCAGAAATCAGCCTCAAGACCACAACTTGAAGCTAAAACCAGGAGATAAAGAGGAAGAGAGGAACATCTAATTATTTGAGCCATTATTTGTACTCTGATGTCTAGACATTATGGCATTCAATCCTGGAATAAAACTCATTTGCCATTATGAGAGATTATTGCATGCGTAGCCAAAGCCAACAGATCAAAAAAGCTAAATGAAGAAGCTTATTCCTGGTCTTCAGGAAAGGAAATCCATTCAGTAGCATAGATACAGTATAGTTTTATGACCATTTGTTTTGGTCAAAGCCTCAAATTTAACATTCTTTTCCTTCCTTTCTGGGTTGTAATGAACTTACTTGAGTATCCTCTGCCCCACTGTTCTTGAAGAAATGAGAACTCACCTCAGTCTCACTGGTCCCATTCTACCAATAACAATCCTCCCTTAATTCAAGCAAGACCTGAACTTCTGGACAAGAGGGACCCTAGATTTCCTTTTATAGACACTATGAAGGTTGAATGGCCCTCTACAACAGGTACAAAAGCCTTGAGGGATGCAGGGGTGTAGGTTGTAGCTGTGTTGGTCTAAGGACATAGACAGACAAAGTTCTTTAGGCAATGTAGACTTGTCACGATAGGCCTAACAGAGATGGCAATTGTTTGCCAGGTCCTTAGAATCATAGAAAATTAGGTTCAGAAGGGACCTCAGGAGATCATCCAGTTCAACTCCCTGATCAAAGCAGAACCATCCCCAACTACATCATTCCAGCCAGGGCTTTGTCGAGCCAGGCCTTAAGAACCTCCAAGGCTGGAGACTCTACCACCTCTTTAGGTAACCCATTCCAGTGCTTCACCACCCTCCTAGTGAGAACGTTTTTCCTAATATCCAACCTAAACTTCTCTTGCTGCAACTTGAGAGCCAAGGCAACTTCACTAGGGCCAGGACAAGAAAGCCATCCCCCTGCACAATTCCAGCAGCATGCAGCAATAAGCACCCTTCTTCCCCACCCAAGCAAGATTAAGCAAATTCAGACAAAGAACCCACCAACCTGAGCTCAGGGACAGAGTTTATTTCTAGCCAGTAAAGCGTTAACACCAGAGTGCATCCAAGCTGCTGTTAGCTTCCCATCAGGGTCTATAGGGCAGCCAGTAAGACATCATGTAGGTTGGAAGCTCTGCCGATACCCCAGCTCCCTTATCATTCTATAGCATTTCACAGCATTATATCACTGCTGGCTGCCTGCCTGGAGAAAGCCTTCCACTGGGGTAGGAGGAAAAGCCAATTTTTCCTCCATTGTTTATTCATATCCTGCCTTTATTTTGGAATCAACAGTTTACTGTGCTGGGATTTTAGTCAGTATGTAGAAAGGTATTTACTAGAGCTCATATAAATTGAAAAAGAAACAACTCAGAGGGATAAGCAGCCAAGAGGTTTTGGGGCAAGGGCACCACATGCTTTACAATTAAGAGGGCAGGAGCATTTCTTCCTATTCACTTTAATCTAGTTCAGGTAGGTGCCAATCTTTCCTGGAACACCTGAAGAATGGATGGTTACACATTCAGTTTAACAGCAGGATAGTCCCCTCCTTCCTTTCCAGACTGTGCAAAAATAGAAAGGGGCAGGGAACAAAAACGTGCAGAAGTGGGAGATTCTATATACGTATGGAAAATGCTGCCTCGTTAAAGTATCTCCTGGAAGCCCAACTCCTTCCCTTATGAATATTTTCCACCCTTCCCACCAATGATGCCTATGCATGCTCTTGACTAAAAACAGCATGTAGCTCCTTTCAGGGCCTACCCAATAACCCCTGCCATCATGGCCAAGCATCTAACCCAACCTTTGAACATCTAGTGCTTAGCTTTCATGTGGCAGTTTCCCCTGCCTCAGATCATCTGTCTAGAAGAGCCTATAGTGATGTGAGGTGGCTGGTGCTGGAGAGGGGGTACATATTTTGGGTTCATTCACTGCATCTATTTACCCAAGGAAAAACCATGTCATCTCCATGTGACGTCACCCTCAGAACTACCTCCAACAGAAACAACTGCTTGAAAAGAACATAGGAGTGGGAGGTGGACAATATAATTCAGTGGACAACTGCCCTTCCTTGCCTGGGTTTCTAGGTATAGGGATATGGAATAAGTTACTCAGTAGGCCTTCTCCAGTGCTAATCTTTATTTCCAGAGGATCATAGAGGATAACCACTCTTTTCCCAACCAAAATGGGGGTTCCTTGTGGAGAGATCCTACAGCAGTTGCAACTAGCTCTCCCCTTCTTCTGTACACTCATCCTAACTGTTCCATCCCAAAATGATGAACACAACTGGGCAAGCAGCAGAGAGGAGGGGAAAAATATCAGAACTCAACTCCAATGCATTTGTTTCCTAGTGGGGTGGGAGGATTGGAGCAGATGGCAGGAAAGCAGAGGTTGCAGGAGGGGCTGCAACACCATCATGTAGCATAGACCTACGGCCAAGACTAACAGTTAAAGCTATCTAAATATTTACAGGGTTTCCTGGGCCAACCACAGGACCTGCACAGCAGAGAGAAAGTCGCTGACTCTGTGAAACCTGGGAACTGACAGTTCTTCTTTCGTCAGAAAGAATTTCTTATCCTTCTCACCTCCCAGCCCATTAGCACTGGATTATAGGATCCATCAAATGCTTCTTTCCCATTTAGCCCGCTGAACAAAGCTGTGTTAAAACGTCAGTGAAGTCTGATGTTCAAAAACAAATAGCCAACTGAGTCTTGGCACAAGCAAGCACAAATTAGAGAACTGGGCCCTCTTACGCTACAGTTTAATTTGATCCAGAGACCAAGAGAGAACGCAAAGAAACTTTGAGGCCATGCTCCAGAAAGCATTGAACTGTTGGTCATGGCAAGTGGCCTGCCAGCACAAGGTAGAGGTAACAATTTCTGAGGCTTCTTAATTGCTTAGGCGCTAAACCCCTCATTATCAAAAATGACTTTGGCTTCCAAATGCCTACATTGTATTTGAAAATGAGGTCTTACAGACAGATGTTTAAAGGTATTCAGGCATGTGAAAATGCAAGCAAGTGCCTGGTGGTATTTTCAGCAATGCCTAAATACTCTTTAAAATCTGGCACTTTGCCTCCTAAGTTGCTCTTCCATAGGCTACAAGCTTCTTATCTTTTATTTTGCCTGCCCAGCCACATATCCATCCAAGGCATAAATAAAGATGCACTCTCTTTCAACTTCAGACAGTGGCGGCGGCCCAAGATCCAGAGCAAAAACTAAACTAGCCTGAGCTGTCTTTTCAGAGAGAGTAGCAACTCCAGAAGAGAGGAACTAGCTCTTCCCTTAAGATGCAAGTTAATTACGTCGGAACGTGAAGAGCTCAGACAATCCCAACAGCAAAAGTACGGTCCACTTGCATCTTTGCATAATGCAGGAGCATAGCGTGTTAAATCCACTAAGTAGGGTAGCTGGTGTGAACCTTTCAGAAACAAGCTCAGAGAAGCCTCCAGTAACCCATTCCTTCATAAAGTGTCAATCCTTTGTATAGGGAAAGCTCACTAATCCTCCACGGAAAATGAAATTAATGAAATAGGTCAGATATTCTGATCACTTTGATAATCATAGCAGTGAGTTGGCTTCCTTCTACCTCTTACTGAGCATTGGGCTAGGGGTGATAGGTTGCATATCAATTACTGAAAAATCACAGGTTAGACATTGACAAGAAGCACATCAGGTCAACAGAAACCTCTGAACCTGTATTTCCACCACTGGTGCATTTTTATTTCAAGCTGGCCCCTCACAGATCAAAGTAGCAAGGGATGGAAAAAGACCTGAGGTCATCTTATCCATCCTGCTGGCTAACGCAAGACTGTTCCCTACAGAGACTCTCACATGATCTCATGTGCATCACAGTCCCCTCCGCCCCTCAGTGTTCCTCGCAAAGGCAGCTTGCAGCGAGAACGTGCCAGCGCAAGGCAGGACTGAAAAGTCCTCGTAAGGGACCTGTCAAAAATGACAAGTTGCTAGAGAGATGCAAATGGCACTCGGCCAACCATAACAGAGCTGTCAACGAAAGCTGCCAATCAGCTATCATGTTAGAAATGGCTCTGGCAACCAGAGGGAAACACGCCGGCAAGTTACAGTGAAGAGAACACTTTCCTCCGCGATGCAAGGGAGCAGAGCTCCATCCTCCCAGCGGGAGCATGCAACAAGGACCAGGCAAACAGCTACTGGGAATGGCACTCGGCAGCAGTAGCATTCCACGGTAACCAAGAGGTTCAACACGTTAGAGCCAACAGAAGAGCAAGACAGGCTGAAGCATGGGATCCCACAGGAAAGCCAGATGCAAACAGTGCCCAAGTCTGGAGGCTTAGGACGTGATCCGAACTCTAGTGAAAGCTGGCACTCTGTGGAACAGCCAGCCATAGCTTTTTCTCTTCCCGCAAATGAAATACCCAATGCACATACTGAGATCACTCGCAGCAGTTAGGACTGTACTGATACAAAGATGAAGGACCCTTGCACATGCCTGATAATGAATACAACCCTGACCTCCTAAAATGACTGGAAGCGCTTTACAAATACTTAAGTCCCACCTCTTACCCAAGGGATACGCAGCATTTCCTCATCTGCTTTCAGGAGGGGCATTGGAACCACACCGAAAAGCATTGGCAGCAGGCAGGCACTGCTTCTGCTGCAGCTCCTCCAGGTTAGCTCCTGGAAACAGGTGTGCTGGGCAGCTCAACTGGTGGCAGCCGCATCTATTTCCAAGTTGCTGTCACCGCAGGGTGAAACCACCCTACGTGCCTTGGTTTTCATGAAGCACAGCGGAGCCCAACTGGGAAGGCCTGCAACAGAAGCAATGTACTGCAGGCAGGCGCACTTTCCCGTGTCAGAGCTGAATGGAGAAGCGGCCGGAACATCTCCTGACAACAGAGATGCGTGGGCAAGACAGTCCCACCTGCCCTACACATTTCCACTCTCAGATCCTGCATGGTGCTGCCTGAGTGGGAAGGTCTGAAGCAGGAGCACAGGCTCTTGCAACAACCACAAACAGATCCGGCTCTGCAGGAGGCACACAGCACAGCTCCACCTGGCTACAGCACCCCCTTGGCCTGCCTGCACCCCTCTCCTAGGCCTCACATGCCCACCTCTCCCCACATACTGCATGTGAAGCCAATCACCTTGTCTTGGACAACTGGGCATCCCCAGGCTCTGCCCCTTCTGGCCTCCAAGCACAATATTAACAACAAAATGATAGCGTTTATATTATTATAGTCATACTATATTTATCTTCATTTTTTAAATGGGGTGCCACTGAATTCTGAAAAGTTTTGGAGGGGCGCCTTGAGTCGCAGAGGGTTGAGAAGCACTGTCCTATGCATTATAGTGCGGCTGACCCTTCCCTGACATGAGAAACAATGAAAGTCCACAGACATTTACCAGTTACCAATGCAAAGTCAGACATAACAACCTCCAGCAGAGAGAGAACTGTCTGCAGAGAGTTATTTCAAATGGGTTTAAGCCTGTGTGGTCCCAGGTCCAGAGAAATTATGTACAATAAACCTTTCTGTGGAAAACTCCACATATTTAAAGGCATCTTTCACCAGCAAAGGGAAAAGTACCAGCCTTTCTATTCCACTCCTCTTCCCTCCAAGCCAAACACAAGGAGACAATGCTAGATTCTTACTACTCAGAACAGTGGATTGTGCTGGGTTTCTAGAGAATTGGTGAGACGTTCAAAGGGGATGTGAAACCAAACCAGCTGAGAGAATGACCCAAAAGAGAGCAATGTTTAATATAGAAAAAAAGAGTGGGAAATTTTAAGAGGAAAAGGAAAAGAAAGGAGGGAGGCAACTGGAAACAAAGAAAGCTCTTGGCCGAGTGCTGCTTGCTTTTGGCCTGCATCCACCAGTTTCCAAGCCCTTTTCCACAGCAGGAGTGCAGGGCTGTGGAGGGGAGCATGGAGCTCTCTAACTTTTGTGCCGCAGGGCAGTTTCATTGGGTCCTGGTCTGGGACAAGCAGCAGGTCAGAAGAGGGCAGGCTATCTGACAATCCGGTCTCTGGCATGGCTTACTGGCTTTGCTGTTCCCTTGCTCCCATGCTGCCTGCCTCACGAGCCAGGGAAATGAGAAGAGCAGACGCTCTGGTTCAGGCAGCAGGGAGAGCAGCAGGGGAAACCCCCACTCCAGGAACATCTGCAGGGCTCCTGGAGCATCAGCATTAGTATTTTAGCTTAGAAAGACATAAAGATAAGTGACTGGCAGATTCAACGCTGGACAGTGCAATAGGACACTCAGCAGGCTAGGAGACAAAAGGGGAACACTGAACATAAGGGAGAAAGAAGACCTGGGAGAAAAATGAAACCAAAATGCTCACATGCAGCAGCATATGCAGGACTGTGCACTATGCCAGGGGCCGGCTCCCCCCGGCACATGTGCCAGAGCGTGGCACGTGAAGACATTTTGCTTGGCACGCCAGCCCTTTTCAGAAAGGTTGTTTCAGACTTCAGGTTTTACTGAAGTAAAACCACTGTGGTGGGCGGCAGGGGCTGGTGGCAGGCAGCCAGGAGGCTGAAAACAGCTGCACTGGGGGCTGCGGAGCCCTGGCCTGGCTCATTGCCAGTGATGGGTGTACACACACCTCAGGGCAGAGTGGGAAGGGGCCAGGGCTGCACTGCCATAAGAAGGATCAGGCTCCTCACAGCTCCCCTGCCATCCACCCAGAGGCGTGTGTACACCTGCCACCGGCAATGAGGTGGGTCAGGGCTCTGCAGACCCCGGAGCAGCCACTTGCAGCCTCCTGGCTGTCTGAATGAAATGACATCCCAATGCGCTTAACAAAAAGTAAAAAAGAAAAGAAGAATAGCAAAGGAAAAAACAGATTTCCATCTGTGTTTCTCTTTGTGTTTGTAGTATGTGTCACCACATTTATTGTCACCAGGTGGTTAGTTTGGGTATTTTTTTAAATTTGGCATTTACTGTAAAAAACAACATTTATGATTATTAACAGTAATAATATGCAGGGTGTCCAGCCTAGTACCACTCCTGCCCCCATTTTGTTTTCCTGGCACTCGAACATCCTATAAGTAGACACTGTGGTTCTTTTGGCGCTCTGCCCAACAACGTTGCCGACCCCTGCGCTATGCCTTTAACAGCTGCAATTCATCCCTGTCCCAACACTTGGTTAAATCTCCACAGACCAGATCTCCACATTTTGCTGCTTTATAATTGGGACACAGCATTGTCTGTGCAAACACTCAAGGAGCAGCTGTAGAAGCTGCATTACTCTGAACCCCAAGAACTCACTTCTACCAAAACCTAGTTACACCACTCTGGGTGTTCTTTACTCATTAGGCCAGGGGTGGCCAATTATTTCAGCGGGAGGGCTGTCCAATGACTTTTGAGAGCCTCAACCACACTTTGACTGGTGCCCCCCTCCCCCATCAGCATCTTGGGACCCACCCCCAATTTTTGACCTCCCCACCTGCCCACCTGGAACTACTCCTTTTGGGAGAGGGGGAGTATCTTGGAACTAGAACAAAAAAAAAAAAAATCATATACTAAAAATCAAACATCTACTCTAACATTTTAATTTTATTTCAAAAAAATATTTATGTCCTGATTTGTGTGTTTGTATAGTCTATAAAGAGGTGACTGCATAATAGCTCAAAATAAGTCTTACTCATATATTGCTGCTGGGGGACTCTGGCTGCAGTGGGGCCAGGAGCACCCCAAGGGCCCGCAGCCTGTTGCTGTTGCTGCCACCCATGGTGGGGGCTGTGCGCTGTGGCAGGGGGGTGTGCTGTGGCAGGGGGGAACCCACCCTCACCCCCCCCCCAGGCAGGAGCTCCTCTCCCTACTCACCAGCTGTCCAGTTGCAAGCCACTGAACTCAGTGCCTCCATATGGGGCTCCCAGATGGAGTGGTGGGAGCCCCATGGAGGTGGAGGCACAGAGCCCACCCAGTCCAATGGTGTATGATCTCTGAAAGCCCACCTACCACCAGTTTTCAGAGGAGCAGCTGCAGGTTGATAATAATTGGTTTTTGTGGGCCAGATAAAATGGCCTGGCAGGCCAGATCCCATCTGCAGGCCATATTTTGCCCGCCCCTGCATTAGGCAAAGATTTCTCAGTCATAAGATACAAGCACTGGTCTGCTTGTTGCGAGTCACTGGGGTAGTCAAACATCCATATGTGCATTTGTTTCATACTTTCCACTGCTACATAGAAGAGCTGGAAAAAATCAGGATGTGCTCCATAGACAGACTGTGAAGGCCTCTATCACTTCAAAGAGCTAATGAACCGTGTCTGCATCCCTTTAAAATAAAGTTTGTTATTGTAATTCAGCCTGAAAAATCAACAATTCATTCTGTTTTTGGGATCTGCTGGCAAAGCTCTCCCACTGACTTCAATATGCTCTGCCCACACACACCCAGGCAGAACTTCTCCCATCATCATTTCATTGTGCTAGATATTTTATACACTCAACAGCCTTCAACAACACAGACAGGGAAGCAAAGTAAACATGGTTTTTGCATTTCAGTGGGGTTATATGCAATAATCCAAAAGTACTCTATAATGCCTCAAGCTATCTACGAAGGCAGACAAGAGAAAAAAAGAGGGGATTCCCTGCGGTGGGACATAACAGCTATTTAACACCACAGAGCACAGGAGAAAAAACAAAGGTGAGTCTCAACCTCCATGAAAGTTGGAGAAAGCACACACTCCAGTCACATGCTGGCTCCAAGTGCTTTGCCTTGTGCCCACTTCTAACAGGAAAACAGCAGCCTTGGGGCCAACTGAGAAGAAACAGCCTAAGATATGATAATGTCACAGCACCAGACAACGCAGCGCGCTGCCAAAAGAATTTCTAGGAAGGTCGGATGAGAAAGACAAGAACCCTTAGATCATCTGATCTATCCTTTTATCAGGACTGCCAGAGTAATCCCTGGAGTGGAAAACTTTCCCTAACATGAAGAATCCAACTCTCTGCTTTTCCAAGTTTATACATCTCTGATTCTGTTAGTCTATAAGGTACATCTCCCCCCTTCCTCTTTTCCAGTTCAGTTTCATGCCCAGAAGTTCATTCTTAATCTCTAATAAACTTCCAAGTTTTCTGTGTGGCCCCTGGATCAATTTCTTACTATTAGTTCATTTTTCAACCATTTATTGCCCCAGACTAAACACATTCAGCTCTTGAAGTCTTTCCTCGTAGGACATTCCAGCCATACCATAAGCATGGTCATTCTCTAGAGAGATTCTAAGACTTCCAATGCCCCTTTTAAGCTAAACAGCCAATCAGGTTCACAGAAGTTAAAAATAATCCAACTAGACATGGTAATTACAGGTCAGGTTGCCTCTGAAAGCAATCCAATTGACCAGGCTTGGAGCAGGACGCTCATTTAAAAGTCTATGAGGCATACATTCTCCAGAGTGTAGTTTGTGGCTCTGCAGGAGGCATCTTCTGTTCAATTCATTTGAGCAGCTAAGACACTAATGCAAATCTTCAGATCCATAGCTGCCTGGCTAGAGGAAGTCAAACTTTTTCTTTAAAGTTCGTTATACCTGGTTCCAGGAAAGAAAGAGAATATTTTATTTGGCCAACTAAGCCATGAGTAGCTGGTTCAAAGCATGTACCAGAAGTGC